TCCCGGGCCGAATCTGGCCGGCCCAAAAGTGCACAGGGACAAGGGGGCTGCCTCACCCATGGGCCAAGCCCAGATCTGGAGAGGTAGTAGCAGGGCCGCTCGATCGATGTGGCCCTTGTCCACGCTAGCGCTGGACCGAGTCAACAAAGGGGCAGCGCTGGTCGTCTCGTTCTGGGATGCTACTCGATGCTGCAAGAGGCGCGGAGGAGGCCGGGAAGACGGGGACGAGCGCCTGGACTCGGATCCGTCGAAGGGCGAGGGGACGGTGAGATCCGGCGGAGGTTGGAGCTTCAGGCGGCTGCGGAAGCACAGATCCGAGCGGAGAGCTTTAGGCGCTACTGCTGCCTGAACACCTCAAGGACGCCATGACGGGCTCCCTGTATGAGCAGACAGAGAGAGAGAGAGAGATATGAGAAAGAGCGGGAGAACGGAGAGGAAGGAAAGGAAGGCGCGGTGGTGCCTGAGCACCGAGCGAGGTAGGGAGGAGGCCAGCGGCATGACCTACTGCTGTTGCCGTCGGCGACGTGGACGTGCGAGGCCACGGGGAGGCCATTGAGTTGAACTCCGGCGGCGGTGGTCAAATCCGTGGCGGGAACGGGGCTCCTCCTGTTCGGAAAACAACGATATGGAGTTGCTGCTGCTGCCGGTGGCGGATCTGACGAGGTGGGGGCACGAGGTGGAGGAGCGCTCGAGCGCTGCTGCTCGAGGGCACGATGTCCATGGCGTCGGCGCAGAGTTTCTTCGGCGGCCATGGCGCCTGGCGTGCTCCTGGCCAGGGCGTAGCTGCTCCTGCAGAGAGAGTGACGTGAGGAGAGAGGCCATGGCAGGGGAAAACGGAAAGGGGGGAAGGTGAGGAGGAGGAGAGGCACGGCCTTGGGGCCCGACGTCCATGGAGGAGGAGCTTCAGCGGCGGCGTTCGTCGTCGAACGGCGAGGCGAGGAGGGGCCAGGGGCGAGGCATGGCTCGGGCAGGGGAAGGCTCGGGTGCGGTAGGAGGAAGCGGTTGGACGGCGGCGCAAATCGAGGGAGGAGGGGATCTGGGAGGAAGAAGCTGATTGGCTCGGTGCTGAAAACAAAAGGAGTGGCGGCGGCGTGGGGATTGGATGGATGGGACAAGGTCTCTAGAATTTAGGGTTAGGGGCTATATATAGCATGTAGGCGAAAAAGAGAGGGATTTGGATCATCGGATCGAAATCCGACGGACGAGGATAAATATGCTAAGGAGTTCAATAAATAAAACGATGATATTTTATAGATGTTTGGGGATGTTCCGGACCCAACAGTGATGACTATCCGGGTCGGGTCTAGGACAGCTTTCGGACGCGCGCGCGAGGAGGGCCGCGGGCTGACGAGAGAGGTTGGGTTGGACCTGGCGGTAGGTAGTGGGCGGTGTAGACAGTCTCGAGCTGAGAGAAGAGAAGAGAGGGAGGCCCGACGACTGTTTCCGGAGACCGAAAACATCCGACGTTAGACCGATTACTATTGCCGCTATATTTATCCGCTAGGGCGTCAAACGAACTCCGAATGCGATGAAACTTGGTAGGCGGTCTACTGACAACAAAACAACACCGCATGCCAACTTTCAACCCATTCCGAGAACATTTTCCGGCCACTTATAAAATAATATTTCAGACATGTCGCGGACGTGTGCAAGTGTGGTTGGGCTTAGAACGGACAACGGAGAGGACGAGGAGACCGGGGCGGATGCAAGTTTCAAAAACATGATGATGCAATGCACATAATGGCATGATGAAATGCAACACGCAATCAAATGACATGGCAACGCCGGCGAAACACCGAAAGACACCTGGCGCAACGGTCTCGGGGTGTTACATCCACCTACTGAATAAGCAAATCAAATACTAAATTCATGATACAAGGTGACTAATATTACCGTCGCATCGACACACTTGATGTATACCATGATCCGAAGTCTCTGCGTGCCTAACCTCTCCATTGCATGGAAAAACTTATATTTTTAATTTTATTTATGTTATTTACCCTCAAGCTATTGGTTTTCTGGCCGCAACCAACTCATCATATTCAGTATTCTGGTTTATTTGACTCATGGAACACTAACATCTTTTGCAAGTCATAAGCAGTTACTTCACATAAGAATTGCGACAACTTGCGTGTGAGAGAAACATCACTCATAAATACTCTACTCCGCTCTTCATTGAAACGATTACTGTTGGGATACTTACACGAAGGTGGTACACTACCTTGTGTGTTTTGTAGGCCATCACACACCGTCTGTCAGATGGCCAACATCATTTCCTCGTCCGACAACGTCCCTCCCGCCACCGATGCCTACAAGAATGGCTACAACCACAGGGGCAAGGGGCCAATGATGAAATGGTGATTTCCGACGCCCCTGTCCGTCTCATTTTAGTTTCCAGTCATCCTTAGTTTTAACCTACGACCGTTGTGCCGGCAGTGAACTACCTATTTTGATCCAACGGACGGAGTACGATTCTATGCCGTATGGAATTATTATGTTGATCTATGTCCATTTGTGGGGATCTATGTCCATTTGTTGGTTTGTTTGATAATGATCATCTATGTAGTTTCTCTTACGCTGGATTTGAGAGACTGAAATACACCGTTGTGGACGCGGGCATTTGAGAAGTCACCGGTCGCTGATTATGGATGGACGCGTCCGCGGATGCTTGTAGGGCCAAGCATTGGGTAGATCCCGCTGCTCTTAGGGTATCTTCAGCCGTTGGCCCGTCAGGAGGGGCAAAAAATCGCCCCCTGAAGGCGCACTGACGCTAAACCGCGCACTGGAGGCGTGATGCCCCCCAGTCGCGACACCCACGGTTAGTCAAAAAAATCAAATACGGTACAAAAACGATTCAAATTTAACGCAAACATCAAACTTAAACATATTTTACAAAAAAAAGAAAAAACTACCGCGGGCTACCCCCGTCGTCTCCCTCGCCGCCCGCCTCGCCGCCCGCCCACGCGGTTCTACATGTCGAGGAGGCTGTAGAACCGCGTGTAGTCACCGCCGCCGTCGTCGTCATCGTCGCCGCCCCCGCCTACGCCTCCGCCGTCCCTGCTGCATCCCTCCCCCGGTTGGCGTGGCGGGTTGAACGGTCCGGGGGCGGCGGCGTCGTCGTCGTCGCTGTCGAGGACCACGACGCCGTGCTCGTCCTCGCGCCCACGCTTGCGGGCGGCGATCTCCTCCAGGGCCCGGCGCTGCCGGACCATCTCGTCGCGGAGGTAGTCGTCCAGCGCCCACCGCAGGGCGTCCTCGTCGGAGAAGCCGCGCCGGGCTATCTCCTCGTACTCCGCGGGGAGGCCGGGCTCCGGCTTGGGCTCGACGAGGACGAAGCGGCCGGTGGGTGGGGAGGCGTTGGCGCCGATGCGGACGCCGAAGCTGCGGGTGCGCGTGCTGACCGGCGTGCCCTGGGGCTCCGGCTTGACGGGGCGGAGGCAGAGCGAGCCGCCGGACGAGGAAGAGGACCCCCGGTCTCCATGCGCCTCGGGGTCCAGGAGCTTCCCCGCGGCGTGAGAAGGAAGGGGGGCCGGGGTACTCGAGGCGCGGCGTGTTGCCGCCCTCGATGTACTCGAGGACGGCCTCCAATGTGCGCCCGGGCACGCCCCACCACCGACGTCGGCCGACGGCGTTGAGCCTGCCGGAGGGCTCGACGCCGTTGGTGGCCTCGAGCTGCTCGGCGTGACGGCGGCGGAAGTAGGGCTCCCATACTGTGGCCCCTCCCTCGCCGCACGCGGCAGGGACGAGCGGATGCGTGCGATCTCCGCATGCCGCGCCGCGCCGGTGGGTATCGGGGGCACCGGCACGCCGCCGGCGCTGATCCTTCACGCCCCGGATACCCGCATGTCCGATGGGACCGGGTACTCGGCCTCGAAAAGGAGGCGAGCCTCGCTCTCGTGAAGATGGCGGCGGCCGAATCCGTTCGTCGCCGCGCCGTCGCCTGGGAAGCGCTCGACCATGGGTGCTGGAGACGGCGAGAGAGAGGAGAAGGAGAAACGACGACGGCGAGAGAGAGGCGAGGGAAGAACGACGACGGCGAGAGAGTACGAGTCGCCGAGTGCTCTGGGGCGCGTCTTATATAGGCCGAGGCGCCGCCCGTGCGCGAGCCGCCGTGAGTACGCGTGGCGGGCCAGTGAGGGCGAGGGACGCACGTCATCCGGTCTTCACTGCGCCGCCCGTGAGAGGCATCAATGGCGCAGGCTGACCGGCGCGGCAGCTTTGACATTGATTCGCCGCGGGAAACGAGGCGATGAGGACGATGAAAGGCCGAGAAGAGGGTAGAGTCGTTGACGCGGCGGGCCCGCAACTGTTTCGCGCCAAAACAGTTCGCCCCGGCGCCCCCGGGCGCCCCCTAGCGCGCCGGGTTCGGCCTGGATCCGTCGGCGCTGTTTTCGGCCCAAGCCGGCGAAAATCGCGATCCTGGGGATGCGACTGGGCCGATTTTTTGGCGCCGGCGTAAAAAAAAAACGTATGAGAAGGCCTTCGGCGCGGCTGGAGATGCCCTTACGGCGCGTGCGCGTTTGCAGTAGCACCGCCGGCGGGGGAAAACGTTTTCCACGTGAAGGCAGCGAGCAAACGGCAAACGGCAAACGCGACCACACGCACGCCATCCATCGGCCACGCCGTAACCGTGCGCCCGAATGCGGCCAGGCTCCACCTGTCACGCGACCCGACGCGGCTGACAGCCGTGCTCCCGCGGCCCCGCCACTTTATCCACACCCGGGCGGCCCCCACCGCCCCCGCCGACGCGCGGGCCCCGTCCCCGGCCCCCACCCGTCATCGTCACGCTCCCGCTCGCGAGCCCGGCGACTATTTCTGGAAGGACCCTTCTCTCCCCCCAAAGGCCACCCAGAGCTCCCCCCTCTCCGTCTTCCTCATTCGCGCCGCCCCTCTCTCGAATCATTCGTCCCGCCGCGCCGCCCGCCGGCCGCCGATCCGATCCGATTCGACTCGACCAGCGCGCCGCCGTGGCAGGGCCGGGGTTCCGCCGATCGACCCCCATGGTGCAGCTCCCGGCCATGGGGAAGCGCCAGCACCCGGAGGCGGCCGAGCCGCCCTTGGCGTCGCCGGCCGCCGCCGTGAAGATGGAGGCGGACGAGCTCCGGGACTTCGACCACGGCCCGCTCGGCAAGCGCGCCCGCCCGGCCCAGCCCTCGCCGCCCCCGCCCCCGCCCCCGCACCAGGTAGATCCGCGCTCGCCGTGCTCCAGGTCTTCCCTTTCGCGCGCCCGCTCGCGGCCGTGCTGGATTCCGCGCTGGGGTTGCTCCTGCTGGGCGTCGAGCAGGAGAGCTTTCATGCGAGCTCGTGGCGGTTTTCTGTGCTATCGGGAGCTGTCGAGCCCTTTCGCGTGGCGTTACGCGTTTGATTTTGACCATCGCTGTTGATTCAGCAATAGAGGTGGCTGCAGTGGGGAGTGGTCTGCGTGGATTAACTCAGTGGTGTTGATTGCAGTGGCCAAGCTGCTGTTATAGAGGGATTTCCTTTTTGTGAGAACAATGGGCATTCACGTTAGTATTCATTCTCGAATCATCGGGGTTGATGGATGCAAGTTAGATCCTGTTGATGTCCCTATGGTTCGGTAGGTTCACAGTCTTCTTCTAGGTGGCGCAGCGCTTATTGAATGGCTGGACGTGTATCTCCACGGGATTCTATGTAGAGGCTGGTATTACCGTTTGACTTGGAGGCCACCTAGCAATCTCAAGGTTTACATAGGTTTGCTGTGGATGGCTGACGGGTTGAGTCAACTTTGTATGGTTGGTCGATTTGGTTTGGTTTTTTGGATGTTGGAAACTGCTTGGTTCCTTAGGAGATTGGGGAAATGTTTCAGAGACAATTAGAAATGTAATTAGGGAAAGAGGTGATACCTGTCGCCCCATTGGAAGTGGATGCTGCAGTTGCTGGTCAATTATCTGCTTAACATGCAAGGTGCTAAGCAAAATCCTTCATAGAGTTTCATGGGATAAAGTAGGAGTTGCTACTGTTCAAGGTAGATGACGTCAGTGTGCAAGTCAAGAAAAAATGTGAATATCTATGAGCCAAAATAAATGGATCAATATTTGTTCTCTCGAAATTTACCGGGGTGCATTCTTGTTTGTTGTTACTATAGCTCTTTTGAGGTGTTTGTGATATCTAGTCTCGGTAGTTTACTGTTTAAAGTTTGTTAATAAAGTAGATTAATTAGGATTTTTTTTATGATCGACATATTTGGGATTCATAGTTTGTATGCGTACATGAATTGCAGGACATGTATCACAATGTACTTGATGAACCTAGCCCATTGGGTCTTCGGCTGAAAAAAAGTCCATCTCTGTTGGATCTCATTCAGATGAGGCTTTCTCAAGCAAATTCCGATGCAGGACAGTCCTCTACGGACAATGCTGAGCCTTCCAAGAAGAAAGACCTTAAATCTGGTACATCATCAGCTGGTGAACGGTTGAAAGCATCAAACTTTCCTGCAAGTGTATTGAAAATAGGCAAATGGAAGGTAAGGAAATCTATGTTAGCTGAAATATACTTATTTATGACAATTCTGCCAGCATCTGTCTTTTGGTACTTCGGTGTATTCTGTTTGGCCTTCTTTAGGTTTGATGCTGGTGATGCTTTATTGAGGTACAGTTGGTATATGAAACACTTATGGTCTTGTAAATTGTTGCTGTGACGATTCTATATATCTGTAAAACTTTTAAGCTCATACACAGAGAATTGAAATGTTGGTTCTTGTTTGTAGTGTCGAGTCTTAGTGGAACTTCGATGTATTCCTGTCCAATTTGCTAGTATTTTTGCTCGAGCAGTCAGTCAGTTGCCCAAAATTCAGTATCTGTATGTTAATGATTACTGCAGTACTCCCTCCGTTCGAAAAAACTTGTCCCAAGCTTGTCCCTCAAATGGATGTATCTAGCACTAACTTGGTGTTAGATACATCCATTTGAGGGACAAGCTTTTTCGGACGGAGGGAGTACATATTAACTAGTGTTCAGTTGCATATATAACAGCCTGCCTGGACAATCTTTGGCCTTAACTGTCTTAATTTGATTTTATCTCTGAGCAGTACACATCCAAATATGAAGGTGATTTGGTAGCAAAATGTTACTTCGCGAAGCATAAACTTGTATGGGAAGTTCTGGAAGGTGGTCTCAAGAGTAAAATTGAAATTCAGTGGTCAGATATAACTGCTTTGAAGGTAACTTTGCCTGAAATTGGAGATGGATCCTTGGATGTGATGGTAAGTTTATCCAGAAGATGCATATGCTTATTAGTCTTATTTTTTTAATTGTTCTCTTATTATTTTACTACCTCGTTTTCTGAGGAGTTCCCATTTTTTTATGCTTATACAGCTGGCTCGACCACCTCTCTTTTTCAAAGAGACGGATCCTCAACCAAGAAAGCATACATTGTGGCAGGCTACTTCAGATTTCACTTGTGGCCAAGCAAGTATGAACAGGTAAATGATTATTCAGTGTTTTGCATTATGTACTGAGAGTG